CCGCGCCGGGGCCTCCACCCGAGAAAGACGCGATGCGGGAGGGAGGACACGGAGCCGCTGTCTTTCATTCCGGTTTAATTCCATGTCATGCCCCCCTCCCCATAGCACCTGGGGGGCCACAGAATACGCAGTTGAGTCAGTAAAAAGTCACAGTTTGAAGGGAATGAGAGGGGGCAGTCCGGGCGTAGGTCCGACACCTACACCGCTGCCTGCTCCTCAGGCTCCGCATTCTCGGCCAGGTGCAGCTTCTGTCTGTGTCAGTCAAGGATTGGATACTGCAGACCCGGTCTTTCCAGCCCCATCTTTTCATCCTGCACAGGCTGGCTCTCCAACTGCGAAAGGGGCTGTGCAAGGGACTCTGCGGTGGTCTGAGGTTGCAGTCCTTTTTTTAAAATATACTTTTATTGATTTCAGAGAGGAAAGGAGAGGGAGAGAGAGATAGAAACATCAATGATGAGAATCATTGATCCATCCCTCCGGTACGGCCCCCCATTGGGGATAGAGCCTGCAACCTGGGCATGTGCCCCTGACCAGAATCAAACCTGGACCCTTCAGTCCACAGGCCTTAGCTTTACCCACTGAGCCAGACCAGCCAGGGCTGAGGTTGCAGTCTTCATCGGCCCTTCTTGCTAGGTGGCTTAGCCCATTCTCTTTTGATCTAGTAGATCCTACAGGTGTCTGCACCCGCACTATTTCTGACCAGGACTAGGTAGGGAGATCATCTAAATCACTGAAAATAATTGAGTGCTGAAAGATTAGGAAGACATTAGACAAGCTTTGCCATGGATTGGTGTCAGCTAAAGTGCTTGCAAAGATTTTGGATAAGTAGGTAAAACATACTCCCTGCAACCACCTTTTTCCTAAAATTTGGGAAATTCTTCCTGCACTCCTTTTCCTGGGTGGGGGCAGTCTGTGGCTAACTCTGACTTAGTAGGACATCAGAGTGTGGAGATGGTGTTATAGTAAACACTCCTGGAGGGTGGGAGGGAAGAGGAAAGTGATATCATCTCTGGGAGGCCCATACACATACACAGGTCCGGGAAAGGATACATGGAATTACTAAGATCTTCCAGCTGTGGAGAGAAAGAGACATTCCTGTCAGAAGAGGCACCAGGCCAAACCCCAGATGTTCTGAGTGCCATTTTCTCGTGGGCTTGAGAGACTCAGAGCTCTTAGCTTTATGCACCCCCAGCTTTTCACCCAAGGGTCAATAATGGCCTTAAGAGCAGTACCTCCCCCACTCCCTTATGCCCCCAGGAATCAAAGCACCCAGCCCTGACCCACATTGCTAAGCAGCTGGTCCAGGTTGCGGTCGGCCGTGGTCTTCTTCTGCTCTTCAGGCAGCCCCTCAGTGACCCCGTCCTCCTCTTCCTCCTCTTCCTCCTCCTCCCCACACACGTCCAGGCTGAAGTGCAGCCGGGCCAGCTTCTCCTGCATCTCTCGCACGTGCTCCAACTGCTCGAAGGAGCATTCCTTCCCTGGACAGCACCTGTCTGAGCCCTGGGAGCAACTTTGGGACCTTGGCCCCAGCCACTCACCAGAGACCAGGCCCTCTA